CGGTGCCCTCCTCCCTCGCCATGTCGCTCTTGCCGCCTGGCTCGTGTGGTGGCTCCTCCAACCCCCTGCTTATGCTGCACCAGAATCCGGTAGCTGCTGGACACCATCTGGCGGAAGCCTTGACGGCTGCAGCGGCTGCGGCCGCGGCTGCTGCTGCTGCCGCCGGACTCTCAAAAATCCCTCCAACCCTGCCGCTCTCCGGGCCCATCACGACGGCCGGCCACACCAACCGACAAACAGCTCACGGTTCCTGTGAGACAGCAGCTCAAAGCCACAGTCTCTTTCCACAGATTGGTAGATCATCTGGTGGCGGTTCCGTGTTGAATTCCGGGCCCGGACGATCCGCGGTTGAGTCTTCGTCTTCTACAACCGCCTCGAACTCACCAAATTGTCCGCCCACAGGCCTCACCTTCAACCAGACCTCGATGTTGGGCCTCGGCATGGGAGCCAACTCCCCGTTCCCAAGACTCCCAACAGTCTGGCCTCCGCTGCAGGCTGGAGGAGGCAATACTGCCAGCACAACTGCAGTGCAGAAGAATTCGAATAGAGGCAAAGCCCAGCTTCCTGGGCCCTGGGGCATGCATCAACTACCTTTCCCCCCAATAGGTAGGCAGATCATATGGAACTAGAACTTTACACTTTATCCTACTTCCCAGAGAAACCCTCTCTCCCCTTACGCCAAACGATTAATCATATATCAATTAAATATATACATACATACATACATACATATACATATAAACATCAGCAACGTACATCGATATAACTTCAATCTATATTAATATTATTCTTAAACCAATTGAGGGTTTTCGAATCTATCAATAGATCTTGAATAAACACTCGACTCATCCAGAGTGAGTCTTGTCAGGTTATATAAGGACTGTTACTTCTTAAATAATTTTGCTATTTAAGATATATTGATAATTTTATTATTTACTCATTGGTTATATAGTAGTATTGTACATTCTAATTAAAAATGCAGGCTAGCCATATTGGCAATAGTTGCACCATTGTTGAGCTTACTTCCATTTCGTGTGAAAGTGTTTGATGCAAAGTTTCTGAAGTAGATCCCACCAGAAGACGATGGCGGATTCCTCTTGGCCAGCTGTCGATTGGCTTTACTGGAACATTCGTTTTCACCTTCGATTCCGGTGAAAACGTGCTAAACTTTCTTCCGTCTTATGATGGACATCATCAGACAGGTATACCACAATAACAGTGCCTTGGGAAAGGCCTGGTCTAGCATAACCTGCACGCACTCTTATGCGACATTGGAGGAAGTGAGAGCACATAATTGTGTGAATAAGTGGATGGGCCATATAAGTGGGGTTGAGCGAAGTGATGCGGCATTGGAAGGTAGAACAAACAAAAGGGGGAGGAGGCATGCTACAACGGTTGAACAGAAAATGGGTCAAGGGAATTGCCTTCACTAGTCACTTTGATAAGTTGTAACTCTGTGCTTACGATGGAGTCTATCACTGATGCTGCCAGTGAAACGTTTGAGAATGTACCAAATCAATGTTCCAATTCTGGAAATCACAAATACTATGAAAGAGGACACAGGACTAGGTGCCTTCCACAAGGACGCCATGTCGCTTAGGTCAAGTTGAGAAAACAGGATTGAACCAATACTATAAAGCTAAAGGAAACTGTGACCAAGCAGATGGCAACACATCCTGGTAACGTGAGGTCTACTACTTATTTCCTCGTGGTTAAACCGAATTGCTGAGAAATGAAGGAAAATGAAGGGCTTCATGTAGAGAATCGCAAATTCAATTTTATTAAATAATTACTTAAAATGGTTGTTATGAGAGACTTAAAAAGGATATGGAGAGAAGCTTTGTTTCGAAGAATAACTCATTAGTTTGATGTTGATACACTTATCATTACATTTGCAAAGCCAGTTGGAGGGAACTCGTAATTTTTTTTCGCCGGCAGCTGAAGAAGTATTGTCATAGTTTTAACTAACGAAGTGTGCAAATAAGACCTCGACTCATTGCCATACGATTAAGCCTTACACTGAGGTCTCCTCTCACCCTGTTTTTCTTATAAATCATCCATAATTTTTAGTTTATTGCACGTCCTGTCTACCATATAGATAAATTTCGTACTGTCGGTAATTCTTGGATAAAAATTTGCTCACCCCAGATTACGTAATCTGACTTAACAAAGGCTAATGAGTTCATTTTACAATGAAATGAGTAGGCATCACAATGCTAATGAATTTGCCTTAGCATTTCATTCAGGGTGACTGTAGTTTCGACCTCGCCTAAATTTCATTCTAGTGAGATGTATTCACTCTATTTCG